TGTACTGGGGTTCTTGTGCACTGAGGTAGAGGAGCAAATTATGAGCTTCGTTCCTGATAGCATGTCTGTAATTGTGGCTATTCATTAGCTATTGAGTAATGAAGTTATACCCAGTTTTTTTTAAAAAAAAAACTTAGGACGTATCTAATTGTTTTCATATTATGCTACGATCAATCAAAACTCATGTTAGGTATCAAAAAAATGGTTTCTTACTTGTCAATACAGCACCCGCAAAAATTTTGAAGGAAAATGTTACTAATAATAATCAAGTAGAGCAGTATGATGATACAAAGGTCAACATGAGTGAAACTTAAATACACCATCCTACTTCACAGTAATTAAGTTGATATGAACAACTTTCACAAACAGTTATTTCATTGGGGGTAAATATAATATATTATGAACTGAATTTCACATTGACCAAAATGGTGGACCAAATATAAAAATAAAGGCACCTATACAGGACTGATGGAACAAACAAACAATCAAGTCCCATGTTTCAAATTAAGTGGCAGCTATACAGGTTATATAGTAAATATAACACTATGAACTATCCTGTATTTATTAGTTATTACATATATGTTAATCACATTTCGATTGCACGTGCGACACGCACATGTCTTGAAAAAATTCATAAACATCAGAGGAACAGTAATGTCATTTTTCTACAACTTTTCATCATCATTGTCCTCCCCCATTACATCATGTAAAGGCCAGCAGAGTGGAAATCAAGTCATCACGTTAAATTCAAAACACATCCATATTTAGTGCTCAGTTCATTAAAAAGATTTATTTTGATCTATAGCCAAGTAAGTGCAACCATACTCAGAGATACTACAAAAGGAATAAACAAATTATTCAACTGATGAAACAACTGTTAAAAAATATTAATTTTAAACAAAATATAGTATAAATTGTCCCCGTCAGCACAAATTGTTATAGCCCCCACGGAACATGATAGTGACTGGGGCTGCTTGTGTATCAAAAAAATCAACAATTATATAGAGTCACCAACCTAAGTGTCAACATAGACACATTATATAGTCCTGAGCCAGCCTATGTTCCTAGTACCTATTGTCAAGAAACAAAGAAGAGAAGGATTACGGTACAAAATTATTCTTTGAAGGTTATGGTAAATGTGATTTGTGTCTGATTTAAGAGAATGCTGATGTGCAATTACATCTAATGGTATGGAATTACATGTTGCTCAAACTCAGCCACTGATCTTGACCTCTTGGTAGCGAAAACCAGCTCAATGACTAGCTCATTCTCAAGTGCAGATTCAGCCAAGCCTGAGTTGTCAGAACCGGACGCCACCCGAGTTCAGAGAAATGAGTTTAACATGCAAATCCTGCATTGCTCATAGGCTACCAAATTTCTTCAAAAACTCCAAGTGATTATAAGAAACAATGTAGGTTAACACTCCTAACTGAAAATTATGCATACTTTCTTTTCAGAAGAGGGCTCTTGGAAGGAAGAAGACGACATAAACAATATGTGGGACAAGATGGCAACCAATATTCGGAAAGTAGCCTCAGAGGTGTGTGGAGTAACCAAAGGAAGGGGACGCGAGGCTAAAGACACTTGGTGGTGGAACGAGGAAGTCCAAAGGGCTATTAAGGAGAAGAAAGAATGCTATAGACGCTTGTACCATGACAGGAGTGTGGACAACATAGAGAAGTACAAGGTGGCAAAGAAGGCTGCAAAGTTTAGTGTAAGTGTGGCAAAGGGTAGAGCGTCACGAGGATCTTTACCAACATTTGAGTACTGAAGGAAGGAGAGAAGGACATTTATAGGATGGCTAGGGTTCGTGAGAGAAAGACACGGGACTTCAACCAAGTTAAGTGCATTAAGGATGAAAGGAGCATCTCTTGGTAAAGGAGGATGAGATCCGACATCGATGGCAAGAGTATTTTGACAAATTGTTCAATGGTGAGAATATGGACACAACCTTTCGGTTGGATGACTCTTTTGATGACACCAATAGGCGCTGAAAGCGGAGAATCCAAGAATCTGAGGTCAGAGAGGCGTTGAAAAGGATGAAAGGAGGTAAGGCGATGGGACCGGATGGTATCCCAATCGAGGTGTGGAGATGCCTCGGGGACATAGCTGTAGTATGGTTGACCAAGTTGTTCAACCATATTTTTCGATCAAACAAGATGCCTGATGAGTGGAGGAGAAGTATATTGGTACCGATCTACAAGAATAAAGGGGATATTCAAAGTTGTACAAATTACCGGGGAATTAAGTTGATGAGCCATACTATGAAGCTATGGGAGAGAGTTATCGAGCATCGCTTGAGAGCAATAACGCGGGTCTCTATGAACCAATTTGGTTTCATGCCCGGAAGGTCAACCATGGAAGCCATTTTCTTAATAAGACAAGTTATGGAGCGGTATAGGGAGAAGAAGAAGGACCTACACATGGTTTTTATTGACTTAGAGAAGGCTTATGATAAAATACCAAGGAATGTTATGTGGTGGGCTTTGGACAAACATAAAGTCCCAACGAAGTACGTCGGGCTCATTAAGGACATGTACAACAATGTTGTGACTAGAGTTCGAACAAGTGATGGAGACACGGATGACTTCCCGATTAGGATAGGACTACATCAAGGGTCAGCTTTGAGCCCTTATTTGTTTGCTTTAGTGATGGATGAGGTCACAAGGGACATACAAGGGGACATCCCTTGGTGTATGCTTTTCGCGGACGATGTAGTGCTAGTTGATGAAAGCCGGACATGAGTGAATCAGAAACTGGAGTTATGGCGGGAGACTTTGGAGTCCAAAGGTTTTAGACTTAGTAGAACTAAAACTGAGTATATGAGATGTGACTTCGGCACTACTACTCGGGAGGAGGAAGATGTTAGTTTGGAAGGTCAAGTAGTGCCTAGGATGGATACCTTTCGATATTTAGGATCAATGCTACACAGAGGGACGGAGATATTGATGAAGATGTTAGCCATAGAATCAAAGCAGGGTGGATGAAGTGGCGGCAAGCGTCTGGTGTCCTATGTGACAAAAGGGTACCAAGAAGCTAAAAGGCAAGTTTTATAGGACAGCGATTAGACTGCTATGTTGTATGGTGCGAGAATGTTGGCCTCTGAAAAGACGACATATTCAACGGCTAAGTGTCGCGGAAATGCGTATGTTGCGTTGGATTTGCGGGCATACAAGAAGGGATCGAGTTCGAACGATGATATACGTGAGAGATTAGGGGTAGCGCCTAATTGAAGAAAAGCTTGTCCAACACGGTTGAGATGGTTTGGACATGTGCAACGGAGACCTTCAGATGCACCGGTGCGTAGTGGAATCCTAAGTCAGGATAGTAACGTGAAGAGAGGCAGAGGAAGACCGAAGTTGACTTGGGTAGAGGCAATAAAAGGAGACTTGAAAGGATGGAATATACCCAAAGACTTAGCCTTAGATAGGAATGCTTGGAAGACAGCTATTCACGTGCCTGAACCTTGATTGTTTCTGTTGGGTTTCAACTCTAGCCTACCCCAACTTGTTTGGGACTTAAAGGCTTTGTTGCTGTTGTTGTTGTTTCTTTTCAGAAGAGGCCCTGACAGCGGCGTGCTCATTAGCAGCCTCCTTATCCTCCTCTGTTTCATCCCCAAAAAGATCAAGGTCATCATCATCCTCAGCCTGTAGAGAATTAAAAGCTTACTACAACAAAGATAATTCAGCAGCATAAAAAATGTTCAACCAATGAGCGTCAATCGTAGCATGGCAGTTGGTAGAAATAAACTGTTAATAAAATTGATTAATGGTATAGATATATCAGTGTGGCAGAGATCTGAACCTTGTTGCCTTCAGTATCGTGTGGCCTGTTATAGAATCACGTATATGCCAATCCCTATGCATTCCATTTTTACCATTAGCACTAACCCATGTATCTACTTCAACTGTGTCACCCCAACAGCAGAATAGAGGAGCGACTTAGAACACATAAGAGTAGAACCCAGATGATGAGGGATGACCTTTAGTTAACAGAAGGTAAACTTTCTAGTATCTGTTAGTTACCATAGGAAAATGTACCAAGACTTCAAGAGGTTCAGTGTGTGTATCTGCATCAATAATAGAGGTCCGCAAACTGCCTACAGTGACATACAACTATATATAGGCTCCTTTTGCTAAAAAACTATATAGGCTCCTCCAAAAAGTTATTGTCAAACACTGCAAAAGACGCCAGGGAGCTTTCCTTTCACATTTATTGCCGAACAACTTGAAAACCCCATTCAACTAATCAGTCACTACCCCTTCTCACGTTTGAGAGAAAGGAGAGAAGAATGACAGAATAATTTATTTTTTAAAAAAAAAGAAGGATAGCAAGTACTACAGGTGTCATTCGTACTAGGCCAAGGCGCAAGTGAGAGTGCGTGAATAAACACTTCATGACATCAAGCATTAGAAAACAAACCATAAGAAACAAAAAAACAAACCACAAGAAACAGAGACTAGTAAAAAAACAAATCATAAGAAACAAATCAAACATATGGCATATGAAGGCTCCTCCAAAGCTGTCGTGTTTTATTGACCGTACTGTACTTGTACAGGTTATTTCATGAACAGAACATATAACATCAATCAATACGAGAAAAATATCAAAGACTACACACCCTTGGCTCGTACAAATGCAATAACAGCACATAATACACCCGTATCTCTTGTCTATACCCACCTTATTGGTATCTTATCTCTCAACAGCTGGCAGGTTGGCTATCTGTTTATCAGGTAGTACGACTGAATGTTATCAAACCTAATATTACAGCTCCTGCCTACATGATTGCTCAAACCCGATATTAGCCTACATGATTCCTCAAACCCGATATTACATCTCCTGGCTACATGATTCAGTTGCAGTTCACAGTGTTCAAAAAATATCATTCCCTACCCAGTAGCAGAAATGTTCCTAACTTCATTCCATAATTAGTGGGACCAATGTCTAATGCAAGGAAATAACATGATGAAAAATAAAGTACAAATGGTGCAGAGCCATCAGGTGGCTTCCCAGCAAGCTTCCTTCAGGCATCCTTCCTCCCCCAGAGGCCCACACCACATCAAGCTAACAGCCCAAGCATCAATCATGATTGCTTCACGGCATGGGAACATCGAGGATTCCCATGAGAATTCCACTGAAGAAGCATCCATATGATTGACGTTCCTATATAAATAAATCAGAGAACTGATCAGAGTGGCTAAACAAACAACCAAGACAAAAGAAGCATCATTACAGGTACTCCTTCATGATTTCAGATTTAATTACCACCTATTCTAGTCATTTGTCAAGCTACACATGCAACATGCATGATAAGCTCCAATGCTATTTTGCAAGATTGAAAGCTGGAAACTTGGAACTGATAAATGCTATATTGCATCGTTAAAACTGCAAAAGTAAAGTACTGACATCAAATGAATATTTCGATTAAAGTACCAGATAATCAACCTAGCTGTAACTGTAACAAGTGCGATAGTAAAAAGGCTGACTAGGTTCTGAAGAATTAATTTGTAAAAGGTGAATGAAAACAATGGTCCACTCACAAGGAAAGCTTAGTACCTGCAAAGAAGCCAACTGTGCTCAGATTTGTTGCAGCCATGGTGTGGTATATCAAGTATTCCGTGAGGAAATGACCAAGAGCGTAGATGAATGATAGGAAGGTGGCCAGATACAGAGGCCTGTTTTCTAGGTTCAGTGCACAAAGGAAGCACAGCGTGCAGGTCAGAAGAGTCCAGACACCAAAAGTACGGCCATGAACATCAGTCACTGCATATAAACAATGTTTTGTTAATCAAACTAGTAATAAAAGGCCAAGGTTTTTAACAAAGGATGGCACATAACCAGGAACTAGTAATTCAGCATGAGGAATAATTTGGAATTTCCAAAGCATTTGATTCCATAGAATGGCCATATTTGCTGGAAGTATTGACCGTTCTGGGCTTCAGTACAAAATGGCGGAACTGGATTTCGGCAATACTAGGGACCTCATCATCCAAAATCCTCATAAATGGAAGGCCAAGTCGGAGTATCTCACATGCTAGGGGCCTTAGACAAGGCAACCCGCTGTCGCCATTCTTGTTCGTTATAGCCATTGATCCACTACAGAGAATAATAGAAAAGGTGGTGCATCAAGGCATTCTACAACCGGTGTTACCCAAAGCGGCAAAAAGCTGTGGTGCTCTTTATACGTGGATGATGCAGCCCTATTTGCAAATCCAACAGCAGCTGAGCTCAGCAGTTTACAGAAAATGCTACACTTCTTTGGAGATAGCTCAGGTCTCAAGGTTAACATGAACAAGACGAAAATATTCCCGATACATCTTCAGGCTGATTTGGTCCCTGCTCTCATCACCAATTTCCCAGGGAAAATCGGTTCTTTCCCAGGAAAATATTTGGGGCTCCCACTCCATACCAGGAAGCTAAGGAAAATTGAGGTGCAGCCGCTTGTAGACAAGGTTGGAGCAAGATTACCAGGTTCGAAAGGTAAATTTTTTACAACGGCTGGAAGGGAGACTCTAGTAAAAACAGTGCTATCATTGATACCGATCTACCATTTCACAGTTTTTCATGGGCACAAAGGGGTACTCAAAAGAATTGATAGGCTCTGGCGCAGTTTTCTATGGCGAGGCGAAACACCAGAAAATGTCAGCGGAGGCCATTTGTTGATCAATTGGCCCACTACATGTCTACCAAAGGAAAAGGGAGAAATCGGCATCATGGAATTAGAAAGATTCACAAGGGCTCTGCGATTAAGATGGTTGTGGTATAGGTGCAAGCAAAAGGAGAGAGCCTGGAGTAATCTGGAAGTCCCTTGCGACAAAACCGATCATGAACTTTTCAACGCCACAACCATAGTAAAGATAGGAGATGGTAAAACAGCATTATTTTGGTCATCATCATGGATAAATGGAACTTCGGCAAAAAGGATCGCGCCCAGCTTGTTCAAGAAGACGCGCAGGAAAAAGATCACGGTACAAAAAGCGTTACACAACAACAAATGGATCGACCACATTTATCCTCCAAGCACACAGGAGGAGATCTCAGACTTCGTTAATCTATGGGAGGCAATCAAGGATACATCTTTGGACGATCAGGTTGAGGCCGACATAAAATGGCGTTGGACGCCAAGTGGGGAGTACACAACCAAAAGTGCCTACAAAATTCAGTTCGAGGGGACCTTTACTAAGATGAGAATAACGCCAATTTGGAAGGTGAAAGCTGAGCCAAAGTGCCGCTTCTTCGCCTGGACTTTGCTACACAAGAAGATCCTCACGGCAAACAATTTAATGAAATGAGGTTGGTCGGATGACCCTGTTTGCAAATTGTGCAGAAATAATCTGGAAACTCCAGCCCACCTCTGGAAAGACTGCCTGTTTGTGAAGGAAGTCTGGGAGCTTGTGAAACAGTGGACTGTTACAACGGATATCAGCAGTTCAGCACAGTTAGCTCATCCGGGTCACTGTATAAATTCTGGAGGAGATGCAGAACAAAGGTGGATAAAAGTAGGAGAAGAAATTTCGAAGGAATTATAATCTACTTTTGGTGGAACATTTGGAAAGAGAAAAATTGGAGAACTTTCCAACAACAAGCTCCAAATCCAAGACAGGCTGCAATTTTATGCAAAGATAAGCCATGTTCGCTTGTCTTATAATTCGTACTTTTCAGCTTGTTTTTTCAGTCGGAACAGTATTTTTCTCCCGCAACAAATCAGCCGGCGGTACTTTCAGCCATGGCTTATCTGCCAAGCGAACGGCCGAAGCACGGCAGCAATAGAGACAAGTCTTCATTTTGCGTTTACAGAGTTATTCTCAGGACCGTGTTGCCTTCATCCCCTTTTTTTCGGCTCGGTTTTCAGTTTGTGTTCAGTTGTCTTTATTTTTTTCAGTTGGGCAGGTCCAGGTTCATGAAGTCGTCTCTGTAAATTCAGTTTTCATTTTCTTTTCTATCGTCTAATAAAATCTACGGCAAAGCTTTTACCGTACATTCTAAAAAAAATAATTTGGAATGGAGAGAGTACAAGTAAAAATCAGGGTAGAGACCATTCTCAGTCCTGGTCAGTCGTACTGGCTTTTCTGAAGGGTCCACCAGTGGACTCCACTCGGAATACTCGCGAAGCTCAAACTCACGAATCCCGCGGGAAGGAGACACAGAGGCCTCCTTGTTGGATCTCCAAACCTTCATCAAGAAGGCGCGGCACAGATCAGGCTATAACCGCGACCGGGTGAGATGAGATCCGTACCCCCCACACGGATCGACCCTGTCCAGGCGAACGAGAGGCAGAGGGGGGAAGAAGTGAAGCGGGAGGATGCGAGGGGGGCACTCACTCTCCGTCTGCGAGAAGACGGCGACGCGGAGCGCCCAGATGTCGAAGAAGCCGAACCAGACGGAGGCGAGGCGGAGGGAGCCGACCAGCATCAGCCACCACCCTAGCGCCGGGACGCCCTTCCTCTTCCCCTCAGCCGCCATTCCCCCGTTGGAATTGGAATGCTTCCACTTCCACTTCCACCGGTGAGCGCTGAGCAGCGTGGAATGGATGCAGCCGGCGGAGAGCACGAGGACTCGAGGCTGTGAGGTCTGACCTGAGAGGATGATGCGCGCCTGATGACAACCAAATGGGCCTGGCCCTTTTGGATGGTTCAGAACTGGGCTTGTGGGTCATGCTGGATTACGGGCCGACACACAGCACTCGTATTTCTCTAAAACAAACACTCTGTATCTTCTTAAAAACACTGGAATGAGTTCCTATAAAAAAACACTGGAATGACACATTTGAAATCGGAGAAAATACAGATAATACATTGTATTGTGCTGACAAATTTCATGTCAAATGGGAAATGGCAGCATCTTATTCTGTCCTAGCAACGTAGCAAAGCCCTTCACATCTCGGACGAAAAAGAAAAACAAAAGCTAATCGCTTGTGAAATCTTCAAAGCAAATGTAGGCGACCAGCGTTAATATTTGGCTATTTGCTATATGAAATGAATAGTATAACTTTTTTTACAAATAAATATTACTAGGTACTCCCTCCGTTCCAAATTATAAGTCACTTTGGACTTTTCTAGTTCATAGAATTTGCTATGTATCTAGACATATATTATATTTAGATACATAACAAAATGGATGTACCAAAACTCAAAGCGATTTATATTTTAGAAGAAGTATTATGTTCCAAAAGGATACAACTCTAGTTCTTTTCTTAATCAAACTATTTAAAATTTAACTAAACTTATAAAATACATATCAATATCTATAGCATCAAATTAGTATACAATGAAAATATATTTCATAACAAATTTAATAATATTTATTTGATATCTTAAATATAGATGCTTTTTTTTATAATATTAGTCAAACGATAGATATTTTGACGATACTACTAAAGTTGCTTTTAAGGAGTAATAACCTAATGTCATGTGAGGCCAAATTTTACCCAACTATTAGGTCCTCTCTCTTGTAGGCGACCACAAAATAGAGCCCTTCGAAAAAGAGTCTTTTCTGCACAGGGCGGGGCTATTTGACAAATGCAAATGTCGTATCTGCGTGACACACGAGATGCCTTTTAGCACAATTTTCCCTTGACCATCTCTAAACGACAGATTTAAAAAGTTTTTCTGACAATTCACGTTGTCACGTGTGCATTGGAAAAACCCGCTCCTGCAACAAGTCCCATGCAGAGCCAGCGTGAGGTGGTTATAGAATTAATACAGTATTGTATATCCAAAAGTTCATAAATGGAAAAATTGTGTTGGGAATTTGGGGTAATTTACTTGAATAGAGGGTTGTCAAAAATTGGGCAGGCAACTTCGTTCGGTAGAATTATAGGATCCTAAAAGGAACTAGTATGGCTATGGCGACCAATTGTTAGATATTATAGCTTAAAACACAGGATCTATCATTAGTTCACAACTAGGACATCTAACAAGATTTAGTACTCAGTATATATCATGGCCGTGGTTTGTTATCTTGAATCAGTGTCTTACAGTTACCTGTGGAATGAAGTTCAACGGAGCTTTATTTGTTGGTGGCGCAATGTTCGGCGATCATTGACTTGCCTCCGTCCAGGAGTACGTTGTGGCTTTGTTGTTTTTCCTTGTGGTTGTTAGTGATTGTTCTCCTCTTTGTACGTGGTGTTGTGTTGTGTTGCTGTTTGTACTCTCTTTCTCGGCTTTCTTGCTTGGTAACCTTGGGCTTATAACCTAACAATATAACTACCATTACCGGCTTTTGTCAGAATCTATGGTAATGAAATTCAGGTGGGGATAGTTCATCCTCCGGTGATCCTTTCCAAAAAAGGATATCAGATGTTGCAACAGCCTGTTCTTAAGGTGTCATCGCATCAACCAGGTGAGCAGTGGCATCCTACGACATTTGTCAATGTATTCGGGTAATTTTAGTCGGAAAATTCAGGGCAAGTCCGAGCATTTTTGGAAAGCCTGAGCTGAATGAGATATTGTAATGTGGGAATTTAATTTCTGGTGGGAAAATAAGTGGAGGTCAAAGATGGCATTTGGAATTTGGACGGAAGAGCGTGAAGAGATCAACTCAATGTTCATTTCAAAACTCTCAAAGGTGGAGTATACTCGTACTCAGTGTTTATTTCAAAACCTGTTCGTTTCGTTGAAAAAGCCAAGCTAAAAAGTTTTATTTGTTGATTTGTTGTAAGAGAAAAATACTGTACCATGGCTGATAAGTTCAAGCGAACAGGGCTTAAGAACATCTCCAAGAGACAATTTTTATGGAGTGGCTAGCCAAATGAAGTTATGGAGTGTGGAGTTTAGAATGTCTCTCGAAGATGCTCTGATAATAATATAGAATATAGAATTAATTCTTGGTCATAAGCTTCATACAATATCAGCGCCGATGGACACATTGGCTCCTCTCCTCTATGCCATGCACCGATTTCCCAGACAAGCAAAGAAGCTGATGGCCGGCGAGTGGAGTGGAGTTTACTACGCACGTCAAAACAAGCAAGCACGCATGGCGTGGAGATGGCATGGACGCAGCAGCTCTGGACTGCATGGAGATGCGATGCAATGCAACGCAGTGCAGTGTAGTGCAGGCACCTAATCTGACCTGAGAGAGCTGAGCTGGACTGATGAGTGTTGAGTGACTTGACCAGCCACAGCCAGCAGCAGCAGCAGTGCGGGCAGCCTAGCTATGCTTGTCTGCATTGATAGGATTAGAAAGGTCGACAGACAGAGCAGGGCGTAGGCTGCATTGACTGACGGCACGGCAGGACGTACGATATGGCACTGTGCTGCTAGCCTGCTACTGGTGAGGCCGGCGACGTACTGGCTGGGAGCCGCCCGTGGCTGGGCATGATCCGTCCAGCTTGAGCTGTTTCGTGTTTGCTCGCTAATTCTGTTCTAACGGGCGGAGCGGATCTCTGGCTGGTGGCTGGCCTGCCTGACTCTCAGCTCAGGTCCTCCACCACTGGCTTCAGGAATTCAGACATTCAGAGGCAATTTGCAATGGCACTGCACGGTCTGCACCCAGACCCAGCAGGCGATCGAGCACATTTCAAGCTTCATCAGACGTTGAGTGCAGGTGCAGTGCAGCAGCTAGCTTAGCACGAGTAGTAAGAGTCCACTGCATTGCATGGCTCCATACGCAGGGAGAGTATTAGTAGAGTATTTTATTACCCTATATTCTTTTTTTTCGGCCCAGTTCCTAGAAAGGCAACCGCTGTGCCGGTGGGATCATCAGCCTGTTCGCTTGCTCGTAAACGATCGTAAATTTTCAGCCGGGAATAGTGTTTTTCTCTCACACCATACCAGCCAGCAGTAAATAATCCACGATATGATACGACCTCCCGAACAGATTGCATATCGGCAAGCCGATAGGGACGCCTGTCGACATCTGGAAGGCCAACAGGACCTTCCAATCCCCTATTACAGTAGTAGCAGCAGTAGACAGGACCTGTCGGCAGCTGGAGGGCCTACAGGACATTGCAAATTCCCTAGCACAGTAGCAGCAGCAGAAGTAGGCCAGTGGCTCATCCGGCTTCCCGGTTGCTGCAACCTTTTGCTTGCACTGTGAGGCTGTGACCGTGAGCTCTCCAGTCCAGCTCTCGCTCGTCGTTGTGTTGGCGTTTTGCAGCGACGTCGCAGGAGGAAGACGAGAAGGAAGGGCAGGAAGCAATGCTTCGCATTGCACTGGAGTTAATAAAATGCATGCATGGGTTATGGCGGGGTGCGGCCTTCATCGGATTAGACAGGACGTTGCATGTAAAGTACTCCTGCTCGCTCTTGCACCGCATTGCATTCATCTCCCTATGTCAAGATCCGAATCTTGTCTCCCGGCCGACACTAACGCATGACACCGAGTTAAGTGACCCCATTAATCCATATTTATTCATTCAAAACCCTTTAAGACATAAGTACACCGTACATCCTCATTGGTCCTAAGATAAACGCACGTCTCACCTCACCGTATAGTCTATTTTAAACAATTCAAGCTATTATAGCACCAGCTACTGCAGTCTATAAAAGAATTAAGCTGATTCAAACATGGCCATACTCTATTTGAGGGATAATGCAAGTTTTAAGTTAAAGCCTACGCGCTGCCATCGCGCGCCACGCCACACTTTATGGCCGCCACAGCTCCCGAGGGTGATGTTTGGTTGGTGATTTATCTTCGGCGGCCATAGCTTTTCACAGACTGGGATTCTGCCACAGCAGTGGCGTCCAGTAACCTGTAACAGAACCGACCAATTATACGAAATTAAGTAAGAAAATCATCCACCAGAGCAGACGATTGAGCAAACTTAAGCCCGTATAACCCGGTAGTCCGTGAAATCACGAAGGATTTCAAACCAACTCGTGTCCCAGCCATGATCGTAATAAGTTTAGCGGTCACCAATCACATATTACATAAAAGTTTCCATAACAGATACATCAGAGTTTAAATAAAAGTTATTACAAAACAAGTTCGAATAAAAAGTAGCGGAAGTCATTTGTTTAAAACCACACACACTCACACGGAGTTCAAATATAGTGCCAGCTGATGATCATCTCCAACAAAAGCATTAGATGAGACGTAAGGAATGACCATGCCCATGGTCCTAAGCATCACCCATCGCAGGATAGAGGCAGTTGATACAATAGCCATAGTACATCTGCCCATCTGCAACAAGTGGGAATAAAACCCTGAGTACGAGAATGTACTCAGCCAGACTTACCCGACATAACCGAAAATAAATGACACCAAGGATTATGCAGGCATTATAGTAGGGTAGCTGACTCATTTGCAAAAGAAGCATTTTTAGCATTTTAAGAACCTTTCTAAAAGCATTATTGTCAAGTTAATTATTATTAACCGGTCGACTAGATTTGCACCTATACTAAAGTAAACATGTGATTAAGCAATTAATGATAACCACCGATCATTAAACAACTTCCATAATTGTCATATTCACTATAAGCTGTCCAAGTGTTCCATAAACATTTACTACGATGAAGTCACTC